GCTCTGTGGATGATGTCTTGCGTCACACGTTGGAAGCATTCGACGAATTGAGTTACGAGAAGCTCGAAAACGTGTTTCTTACTTTTCAAGCGGTTATGCGCTTGGTACTTGAGCACGGTGGCGACAACAAATTTGCTCTGCCGCATCTCAAGAAGGGTGCATTGAGACGCGCTGGTCTTCTTATGTCCAATGTAACTTGCTCTGTGTCACTGCTTCTCTAGGGAATTTTAACCAATGAATATCAGTGGACTGGACCTGTTGAAGCACCAATGATTTTCAATTCGTAATAGTAATGTGGAAAAAGTGTGTTTTTCTTAGCAATGATACTGTAAATGTGGAACTGAGGAAGTATTTGGTAAAAATGACATTTTTTCGACAAGATCCAAACGCCGCGCCGAAATAAGGATACTGTTTTGTACACCGAAAGGAAAATGCCGACATGTCGTGGCGCCGCGCCTGTCGCTCACCACGGCGTCTCCGTCGTGTACGCACACTTCTAGTGAATAGAGAGGATGTACCGACAGCGACTATCCTGATCGTCCTTTTGTAGTGTGCACTTGGACGGTCACCCAACGCACGGCATCCTTGTCGGTAGCGTCACACCAAAGACATCGATGTGCTCAGTCTTGGCGGAAGCAATACGCGTTTACACAGACACGTACTCGGCATACCAACTTCCTGCAATATCTGGGTTGTACGATATGGCGTCTGGAGTCGGTACAAACTCAGCATTGACAGTAGCTCGACTCTGAATTGCAGCATAGTTGTCGATTTGGCATCCACGGTGACCGTCGTCACGAACAACCAGGTCCAAGGCGATACCATGTTGCTTGAGTACGGCGTTGTTCGGTTGCACGACCGTGGTCGACGGTATTGCCACGGCCCCCACGAGTTGGTGGCCAAGCAAGTTTGTGTGACCGAGAGAGACCCACTTCGACAATTCGTCAAGGCGATTCAGTCGTCGGTGGGCAAGGCTATGCAGCGCTCCAACTCGTATTCTCGCTCCAAGCTCTCGACGCCCCCAAAGCCTCCACTGATCGCAACGCCGACGCAATCCACACCACGCCTAATCGACGTTGCTTCAATCGATGTCTCCATCCGTTCGACAGTCGACAATCAACCGCAGATGCCTCGACTCGTTGACGAAATGGAGCGTTTACGAAAGACACAACCAGCAACGAGCCTAGCCCATGGTGGTCCGTCATCTCAATTGGGAACGGCCCAACACTTGGGCGGCGATGCACTGGGTGTGGTGAAAACCACTGATCGCCTCCGCGAACTGGACGACTGTCCAGCATTTCGGCGAGCCCTTCATGCCATGGACATCGAGTCCAACGCCATTCAGCTTGGTATTCAGAACATGGTCGACGCTGCGAGGGCTCTGGGGCTCGCAAGCCAGGCGTTCCTCGCCACTTTAGATGGTTTCAAGCGAGCCATGCACGAGATGACGATTTCCCCGTCGGAGGCTACCCCTTCATCCACCGACTACAGACATACCAACTCGTGGCGCCTATATGTCCGTGCGTGCTTGGATCCGTGCTGCCTCCGCCTGGATGCTCTGGCGGCCACACATGCAGCTACATTTGACGCTATGGACGAGCATTTTATTCAACCGTGGCAAGCACTCGCCACCGAATGTTTCGGAGATGTGCGCGCCCGGCGACGCGAGAAGCTCAACATGCGGTTCACACAGCACCACAGCCTTGCGCTCGCGTACGCAGCGATGCCAATGGACGAGTCGGTTTACGAAGGCCAAGATCGAGTGCTCAAAGCCACTCTCGCCGCATTCGAGACAGCGAGGCGCAATGTTGTCAGGCACGACCACGCGACGATGCTTCGACTTTGTAGTGTGGCCCAGACCACGAGTCGCGCATTCGCTGGATCCGACACGCCGGTCGAAGCAAGGCAAGGCGACGTGAGCTCGCCGGAGCGCGAGAGCGGCGACTCTGCAACGCGGGCGATGCAAGGATACTTGTTTCAAGTCGATGGGCCAGGGGGAGCCCGCGTGCGACGGTGGGTGTGCATCCGCGACGGGATGCTGTATGCAGCTGTGGTACGTACCCGTGGTGAATGCAGTTGATGCCAGAACGAGCTAGGATGACTTGGCCCTTGTGGACGACGAGCTGGTTGCCGACTTGAACAGCGCGACGGTCGTGCGATGCCGCGATGCCACTGCGTGCGCCGGCGTTCGAGGCATTCGCCATGGGTTTCAAGTCGTGGATTGCGACAACAACGGCGTCTCCACGTCTACATGGCAAGCAGATACCCGCGACGTCTTGGACGAGTGGATCGTTGCCCTTGCTACCCACCAGTCGCGCCAACCACCTCCATCGCCTCCCGCCACGTCACCCACAGCAGAGCTGCCCAAGCCTGCAGAGGTGTGGATGGCCCACCACGAAGCACCGCTCGTTGTCCATCCGAGGGAGGCCGCCGCCGACGAATTCATCGAGATCGTGCGCCAGGTCCTACCGTGCTCCGTTGCAACGTACTTGAACCGTTTCGTCGTCGATGCTACGTTTTCAACCGCGTTCCTGACCCAGCAAGGCGCGTCAGCGGTGGAGTTCTCACCATGGGTTGTCGACACGTCAAGCCCATTCGATGGATCGAAGCGATACACACGACGGCGCAGGTGCATCCTTCCCGTCGACTCTGCGTTGAGCCAAGGGACGACCCGCATCCACGCGACCGACGTGTATCAAGTCGCCGGCGACAACGACTGCGCGCAACTGCGGCTGCTCTCGTCCGACGAGAGCTTGGACGTTCCCTACGGGTCGTACTTCGCCGTGCAGTCGCGCACGACCGTTCGAAGCCTTCGGTGCGAGTGTCCCGGCGACGCGCCGCCATTACGGCAGACCGAGATGATCGTCGAAATCGGCATCTACTTCTCCAAGCGAACGATGTTTCGTCGCATGATCGAGTTAGCGTCATGGAGCGAAGCCAAAAAGTCGTTCGAAACGATGGCCAAGGCGATCGTGGTGGCCCTGGGAACAAACGCAGAGCACAAAACGTAATTACAGTGAAAAAACGCGCACGAAATGTAATATTTCAAGAAATTTGCGTTGATTTCAAACATAAAATTTCATCTTCGTCCATGATTGGCTGCGATAGTGTCTTTCATAATCTCTGATTGGCTTAGACTTAACATCCGTCCATGATTTGGACAAATCAAAAGCTTGAGATTCGAGCATTCGGATCGGTAGATTGAGACACGTCAATTTCACGCGTTGGCATGCCTGGAACCGTCCTCCCGCAGCGCGCTCAACGCCGATGCACTGTTCAAGCGTTCAGTTTCTCCATGCGTACGAAAAAAGCACACTAAGCGCGCGATCGAGGGCATACCTCCTTCTACATGGCAAACGAGGTTGAAGTCGTTCGAGAAGGCATTTTCCGCATCTGATGTGGAAGTAACATTGCCATGATCTCTTGAATAAAAATGTATGGATGAATGTATGGACTTCACACTGTTTCCAGATAAAAATAACGTTGCACTCTCCTGGTGGGGATTCCGTACTGCTCCTTCACCCGTCACACGAAATGATCTGCTTTGACAAGGTCAGCTAACCTTTCGCTAGCATACCTTAATCACCAGGCCAAATGCTGCGGAGGTGAGCCCTGTTAAGGTGGTACGATGATCAAGTGCTTGTTGGACATGGTCATGAACATGGGCATGGTCATAAACATCAAGAAGGCCAGCCAATGTCGACAGTGGGATCAATATCCCTCAAGTAGCCAAGAGACGAGCGGCCAGGATTATCCAGTAGCATAGAGACCTCTCGTCTAAATCAATCACTTTTGCATTGTCAACGGCTTGGTCACTTACCTATCTGGACCTTTGGAACAGGTTATGAGCCCAAAAATGTCTGCCTCAACGCTCACGAATGGAAACTTTGGAACCTGGAGAATCTGGTTTGCAGCCAAGTTGCGAACGAAACGACTGTACCATTACCTTGCCTGGGATGGTATCGTGAACGAGCTCAATGGCTTCACGTTCAACGCGTTGGATGATGCACGAGCCCTGGGAATACTGACCGAAAGTCTGGACGAGTCCCAGTACCATCACGTGGATGGGATCGAAAGGGTACGGTTGGCCTACGAAGCGTTGGTGGCCATCCATGAACCGAACACCCGTGTGGATCGAATCGCATTGTTGTCAGAATACCACGGGTTGAAATGGAACCCCAAGACGACAACATTGGACGATTTTTTGACGTTGTTCAAGGACGTCACTCGGCGCATGGCGGCGGCCGACATTTTGGAAACAGAGGAGTTCAAGACAGTGAAGCTCCTTTCGATGATGCCTCCGGAACTCCGGATGGTAAACCATTTGATCATGGACGGAGACCTCATGTTGCGGACGGTGGCAGCTACAAGCGTCAAGTTGCTGGCCGAATACCGATACCTCCAAGGAGAAGGACAACTGTTGTTGTCTAGACCACGCAACATTGAAAACGCGTTGGTCACGACGGGAGATGAGAAGAAGGCGAAATCTCGGAAACAAGATAAGTGCAACAATTGCGGCAAGTTGGGACATTGGGCCAGAGATTGCTATCTGCCCAGATTGCAAGCGCAAGAAAAGAAACCGGGGCGCGTTAACTTGGCACGCGGGGCCCCAAAGGACAGCCCAAGGGATGAAGACCATCTGTTCTTGATCGACGAAGACCACGCAAAACGAACCAAGACCGGTCAGCAAGTCATTGTGGACTCAGGGGCAACGTGTCACCTTACGGGGGACATATCAGCTCTATATGACGTGGAAGCGTGTCAACGGGCCGTCATTGTCGCCGATGGTCACCGCCTGGAAGTAGACACCAAGGGAAAGCTGAAGATCCAGGGTCAACGATCAACATTGGTCTTGACTGAAGTGCTTTATGCCCCGTCTCTTCAAAACACCTTGATATCTATTTCAAGAATAGTTGCGGAAGACCCCAGCATTCAAGTCATGTTTCGCGGCCGAGAATGCATCATGACCAAGAACGAAGAAGAAATTTTGGTTGCCGACAGTGACAACTCCTCCAAACTGTACGTGGTGCGATCTGACAAGAAGAACAAAACAATGACGACGACCGTGGAGCTCCTCAATCACATGTATCAAGAGCCACACCCCATTGAGTTGTGGCACCGGCGTATGGGACACATACCAATCCCCGTCATGCGAATGTGTACCAAGGTCGGCGCTGGGCTACCGAAGATACCAAAAGACTTTCCGCTCAAGTTGGCATGTGAAGGATGTCAAGCTGGGAAGATGGCGGCTTTGCCGAGACTCAAGGCAGCTTCCCGGAAATGGAAGTCGGGGGAGCTCATACATAGTGACATCAAGGGCCCCATGCGAACACAATCCATATCGGGCTGCAAATACATGGCCGTGTATGTCGAAGATGTATCTGGTTACGTGTGGGTGACGTTTCTCAAGACCAAGGACGAGCAAGCGGCAGCATTCAAGGTATTCAGGCCTTGGATGGAACGACAAACAGGCACCAAGATTAAATGCCTGCGGTCCGACAACGGAGGGGAGTACTCATCCACCAAGTTCGAGAAACATCTCAAGAAGCTCGGCATCAAGCATGAAACAACCGTGACCGACAAACCATCCCAAAATGGGAAAGCGGAACGCATGAATCGTACGCTGTTCGAAATGGGTTTATCGATGTTGCTCCACGCCGACATGGATCGCCAATGGTGGGCGGAAGCAGTCTCTACGGCTGCATTCATTCGAAACCGCATTGCCAACACGGCAAACGCAACTGCATCACCGTACGAGTTGCTGTTTCAGCAAAAGCCCAAATACACCAATTGGAAAGTTTGGGGATGCATTTGTTTTCGGTTGCTACCATATCAGTCGAAACGCGACAAGTTGAAGGCCAAATCATCCAAGTGCCTGTTCCTGGGATATTCTGACACCAAGAAAGCGTATCGGCTGCTCGACCTGAACAACAACACCATCGTACATGCCGTTGACGTCAAGTTTTTCGAAACCAGTTTCTACAAGACTCAACACGACTCATCCGACGACGATCAAGGGGAGAATGATGACGAGTCCGACGATGACAACGATGAAGCGCCCGGTGATGGCAACGATCAAGACAA